CCAAGTGGCCAGAACAGCCAGGGCTGGGCCAGACTGAAGCCAGGAGCCAGGAGCTTCATTGAGGTCTCCCATGTGGGTTCAGGAGCCCAAGCACTTAGTCCATCTTCTGCTACTTTCCCAGGCTGATTAGTAGGGAGTTGGATCAGAAATGGAATGCACTTAGTCCATCTTCTGCTACTTTCCCAGGCAGATTAGTAGGGAGTTGGATCAGAAATGGAATGCCCAGGACTTGAATTGGTGCCCATATGGGATGCCAGAGTCCTAGATAGTGGCTTCACTAGCTATGCCATAGCACCAGCCCCTCTTTTTATCATTTTAATCAGGGTTTTGTAGTTTTCTGCACATGAGGAGACTTCAAAATGTTTGTGGAAAATGAAATTAATAAGATTAGAGGCCTGTGCCACGGCTCACTAGGCTAATCCTCCGCCTGTGGCGCCGGCACTCCAGTTTCTAGTCCCGGTTGGGGTGCCAGATTCTGTCCCGGTTGCTCCTTTTCCAGTCCAGCTCTCTGCTGTGGCCCGGGAAGGCCATGGAGGATGGCCCAAGTGCTTGGGCTACACATGGAAGACCAGAAGGAAGCACCTGGCTCCTGGCTTTGGATTGGTGCAGGGTACCGGCTGTAGCAGCCATTTGGGGAGTGAACCAACAGAAGGAAGACCTTTCTCTCTGTCTCTCTCTCTCTCACTGTCTAACTCTGCCTGTCGAAAACAAACAAACAAAAAGATTAGCTTTGGGGCTGGTGTTGGGCTGGCATTGTGGCATACCTGGTTAAGCTCTGCTTAACTGCTTAACTCTGATTTGAGTCCCGGGGGCTCTGCTTCTGATCCAGCTCCTTTCTAATGTGCCTGGGAAAGCAGTGGAAGATGGCCCAAATCACTGGGACCCTGCGCCCATGTGGGAGACCTGGAGGAAGCTCCTGGCTCCTGTCTTCAGCCCAGCCCCGCCCTAGCTGTTGCAGCATTTGAGGAGTGAACCAGCAGATGGTAGACACTTCTCTCTCTCTGTATCTCCCCCTGCCTCTTTCTCTGACTTTCAAATAAATAAATTTTAAAAAGATCTGCTTATTTTTCTGCAAAAAATTTTGAAATCCATGAATTTTTTCATAACATGCATTTTTTTAAAAAATATTTTTATTTTATTTTATTTGAAAAGCAGAGTTACAGAAGAAGGGGGTGGAGAGGAGGAGGGAGGGAGGGAGGGAGGACAAGAGAGAGAGAGAGAGAGATTGAGATTGAGATTGAGATTGAGATTGATTCTCCATCTGCTGGTTCACTCCCCAGATGGCCACAACTGCAGGGATGGGGCCAGGCTGAAGCCAGGAGACAGGAGCCTCGTTCAGTTCTCCCACGTGGGTGAAGAATCCAAGCGCTTGGGCCATCCTCTGCTGCTTTCCTGGATGTACTAGCAGGGAGTTGGATTAGAAGTGGAGTAGCTGAGATAAAACTGCCATTACAGGCAGCAACTTCACCCACTAAGCGCTGGCCCCACAACATGCATTTATGGAAGCTTTTTGAACATTTCTCTCATAGAGATCATGTACATATTTTGTTAGGTTTATACCTAAGTATTTCATTTCTGGTGTGTTAATATAACTAGATTTTTGTTTTTAATTTCAAATTTCAGTTGTTCATTGCTGATTTATGAGAAAGTGATTGACTTTTGCAAATTAATGTTATATCCAGAACTCTTGTTATAATCACTTATTCTAATATATCTTCATAAGACTTGTGAACATCAAAAATGTTATTGTAGATAATTGTAAATAATTCTTAAACTACTACATATTGAGTATTCTCCATCCAGAATGCTTGAGAACAGAAGTGTTTTGGATTTTGGATTATTGTGCAATGATATTTGCATATACATAATGAAGTATGTTGGGCACGGACCCAAGTGTAAACACAGAACTCAGTTATGTGGCATATACATGTTATATTCATAGCCTGAAAGTATTTTATAATATTTTGGTTGTGTTTAAATTTTTAAATTTATTTGTTAGATAGTAAGAGAGTGAGAGTGCTCCCATCTATTTGTTCATTCCTGAAATGCTCACAATTGCCAGAGAGGGGCTAAGATCCTAGAAGTTGGAAGCCAGGAGTGCAATTCAGTTCTCCTCCATGGGTGGTAAGAACCCAATCACATGAGCCATTGCCTGCTGCCCCCAGCAAAATCGCATTAGAAGGAAGCTGGAGTTATAGGTGCCAGAGCAGGTATTAGACCCAGGCATTTTGATGCAGAACCTGGGAGTTCAAACACCCACCACCCCTGTAGCTAGGTTTTGACTGCAGTTCATCATATGAGTTCGTGTGTAGCATTTTTTACTTATGATGTTACATCAGTGCTCAAAAATTTTCAGATTTTGGGGATAGCATTGTGGTATAGTGGGTAAAGCTGCCTCCTGCAGTGCCAGCATCCCATATGGTGCCAGTTTGAGTCCTGGCTGCTCCACTTCTAATCCAGCTCTCCGCTAATGGCCTGGGAAAGTGGTAGAAGATGGTCCAAGTGCATGAGTCTGTACCCATGTGAGAGACCCAGAAGAAGCTCCAGGCTCCTGGGTTTGGATCGACCGAGCTTTGGCCGTTACAGCCATTTGTAGAGTGAACCAGTGGATGAAAAGCCTCTCTTTCTCTCTCTCTCTGCCTCTGCCTCTCTGTAACTGCCTTTCAAATAAATGAATAAGTAAGTAAGTAAGTAAGTAAATAGATCTTTTTTAATCAGGTTTTTGGATTAAAGATGCTGAGTCTGTGCCTCATTATACCTAATGGCTCCCCTGAAAGAATTCTCCCAAGGAGTGCTAAAGGAGAGAGATATCAGAAGTGTTGGTGATAAAAGTGTTAAGCTTATTTAACAACCTACTGGTGTAAAAAGGAAAATATAACTCATGAATATCTATGATTTTAAAAAAGTACAGATGGGTTGAAATCACTTGTCAACACATTTTTCAGAAAGATTGAAAATAATTTACATCTGATCTCCCCCTGAATAGTTGATTTTATATCATTCTGATTAATTTTAAAATGCATATAGGTTTTTACCATATTGTTCAAACATCTACTTTATGTAAATCTGATGACATAAAAATATAAATCAATAGAAAATTGATATTATTGGAACAGTAGTTTCATTTACAAAGGCATCTACCCCAGGATTAATTTTATTAGTAATTTATACTAATTACTGATTTATATTAATCAAAAAAAAGCACTGATTTTGATTTTCAAAATGACAATTTAATCTCTTCAGAAGCACAATTTGGGCTGTTGGTATGGCTCAGCTGGTTCAGCCACCGTTTGTGATGTTGGCATTCCATATTGGATTGCTTGTTTGAGTCCAGGCTGCTTAATTTCTGAGCCAGTTCTCTGCTACTGTGCCTGGGAAGGCAGCAGAAGATGGCCAAGTGCTTGGGCCTCTCCCACATGTATGGGAGATCAGGATAGAGTTCTTGGCTCCTGGCTTTAGCCTAGCCCAGACCTGGCTATTCCAGCCATTTGAGGAGTGAAGCAGTAAATGGAAGCTATGTCTCTCCTCTCTTTGTCACTTTGCCTTTCAAACAAGTAAATAAATAACTATATGATTAAATCAATGAATTTTTTTTTTAGAAAAGCATAACTTTTTCAGAAAACACAGTAGGACTATGTTAGGCTTTCTCTTTACTTTTTAAAAAATATTTGTTTGTTTATTTATTGATTTGAAAGGTAGAGCTACAGAGAGGGAGGCAGGGAGAGACAGAGAGGGAGACAAAGAGATCTTATATCCCTTGGTTCACTTCCCAAATGACTGTAATGGCCAGGTCTGGGCCAGGCCAAAGACAAGAGCCAGGAACTTCTTCCAGGTCTCCCACATGGGTGCAAGCACCTGGACCATTCTCTCTTGCCTTCCCAGGCATATTAAGCAGGGAGCTGGATTAGAGATGGAGCAGCCAGGACTTGAACCAGCACCCATATGGGATGCTGGAGCCTCAGGCAGTAACTTAACCCACTACATGACAATACCAGCCCACAATTTTTTTAAGAACATTATTTCAGTTAAAAGTGATCCCTGTTAAATATAAGAGTGGGAATAAGAGAGGGAAGAGATGTATAGTTTGGCACATGCTCACTTGGACTTAACCCTAATGGTAGAGCTAGAAATGTGCCAGGGGATTCTAATTCAATCCCATCAAGGTGGCATGTACCAATACCATCTTACTTGTTAAAGTGATCAGTTTAAGTTCATAATTGATCAAAAAGATAGTATTGTCAAAGGGATTACATAAATAAGACCAGTGTCTGCAAATAATAATTGATAGAATTAAAAAGGAGAGAACGATCCTAAATGGGAAGCAGGATACACAGCAGACTCATAGAATGACAAATGCCCGAAACAGCACTCTGGCCTCAGAATCAGCACTTAAGGCATTCAGATCTGGCCAAAAAGCCCATGAGAGTTTCTCAGGCATGGAAAGCCAAGACACTGTGGCAAAAAACAAAAACAAAAACCTAAATGAAAGATCTCTGTGAGATCCCAGCGGAAAGAACGGGCCATCAAAGAAGGCAATAACTTTCTCTGAAGGGAGAACTTCCACTTTGAATATGACCTTGTCTAAACAAGATCAGAGTTAAGAATAAAGGTAGGACTCTGTATTACAGGGGTCAGTGTGCCTATACTCACCAAAAATAATCTTCAAATTAGCATGTCATTGATCTAGGATTCATTATATCATTGGATTTCCCCTATTTCATAAGGCTTTCCATGCTACTGAAGAATTTCTTTGCATATACAGTGTTACCTGGATTGCAAAGAGGAATTCTATAGAATAAAGGCTTCTATGAGTTTTATAATTTGTAAATACAAGTTGAGATGATTAAATGTAGTGTGTGAAAAAATGCATGATCTTCTCATGTAGTCTTTTATAAATAGAAATCTCCACTATTTTGAAAAATACAGAAGTTAAATCTGAAAATGGAATAACATTGTGAAATAAATTATAACCTTTTTTTTTTTTTTTTTTTTTTTTTTAGGAAACCATGAGTTTGATTTTGGTGTGGATGTTTTGGAAGAATACATCAAACAGATGCATTTTACATGGTTACTCAGTAATGTCTATGACAGATTTACTTCTGAACCTCTTGGACATGGTGCAGTAAAAAAAATAGTGACTTGGAACAATATGAAAATAGGGCTAATGGGGTTAGTTGAAGAAGATTGGCTAGATACTTTGGCTACAGTTAATAAATCAAATGTAAACTATAAAGATTATGTTGAAGTTGCTAATGAAACGGCAGTAGAACTGAAAGAAGAAGGAGCAGATCTTGTTATTGCAATAACTCATATGAAATGGGGAAATGATACAAGGCTTGCCCAAACAGCAGAAGGGGTCAATTTGATTCTAGGAGGCCATGACCATGATTATGGAATCAGGAAGGTGAATGAAACCTGGATTGTCAAAAGTGGATCTGATTTTAAATACCTGACAAAAATAAATATAAGACACTTTGATGCATCTTTCCAATATGTATTTGAGAAAGTGGAAATTGTTAGTTATTTGGAAGAAGATTCATATATTAAAGCAATAGTAAAAGATTTTACTCAAAACATACAGGTAGGTGAATATTTTTATGTTACTTACTAAGTACAGACTAATCACATGAATATTATACAGTACTGCTACAAAATAGTATAACAAACAATGAAAATGGTCATTCCAAGAAATTAATGCTAGTTTTTCTTTATTTTAATGTTAATATTCAATTTACATTTTATTTTGGCTATATAAGTAGGTAATAGTATTTGACACCTACTTTAATATTTGGACTTAATATTTTAACTGTCATTATGAAAGTATTTTTAGTATTCAAATTCTGTAATAATTTCTTCCTTTAATAAAGAGATTACTACTAAAATTTATGAAGCACTGGGTTACAAAAAGAACAGGTGAATTTTATATTAGTTTGTAATGAAAAGGCATTTCCTGCCTTCTCTCCTTATAACTACTATGGATGTTTTAGTGGTTTGTAATCAAGTCACTTAAACTTTCATATGCATTTGAATCTTTAAGGCTTATCTTTTTTTTTTTCTGGGCTCCATGGAAAAAATAGAGTACCCTTGGTGTGTGTGTGTGTGTGTGTGTGTGTATTTGTTTTACGTGTGTTACATTTGCAAGAGCTAATGGAAAATACAAGCCAGGGTCTATTTACATCCATGTATGCATTGCCTCATATAACTTGTGTTACCTGAATAGTTCCAAGGCTATAGATCTCCGTTCTGATTTTGCTTTAAGCATTAATGGAGGCATTAAGTTGGGGTGAACTTGATACCAGAAAAATTAAATGTTTTAATTACAGTTTTCTGGCACTGAAAGGTAGATGGGAACTCCTAAAATTTATGGTAACTTGGCTCCTTCATTTTGGCTATGAAATGTAAAAGTGATTATTAGGATATGTAGGAAAGATCTCTGTGAGATCCCAGCAGAAAGAAGGGGCCATCGAAGAAGGAGGTGCCTTTCTCTGAAGGGAAGAGAGACCTTCCACTTTGACTATGGCCTTGTCTAAAGAAGATCAGAGTTTGTGAACTCAAGAGGCTTCCATAGCCTTGGCAGCTCACGACAAGGCCTCGGGTGATTACTGATGTCCTAAACAAGAGTGTCAATTGTTAAGTCAACAACAGGAGTCACTGTGCAAACTTACTCCCCATGTAGGACCTCTGTCCTTAATGTGTTGTACTATGCGAATTAACAGTAAAACTACTACCCAAACAGTACTCTTTACTTTGTGTATCTGTGTGGGTGCAAACTGTTGAAATCTTTACTTAGTATGTGCTAAGTTGATCTTCTGTATATAAAGATAATTGAAAATGAATCTTGATGAAGAATGGGATGAGAGAGGGAGTGGGAGATAGGATGGTTGTGGGTAGGAGAGAGGTTATGGAGGGAAAAGCTGCTGTAAAAGTGGTACTTTGGAAATTTATATTTATTAAATAAAAGTTGAAAAAAAATTTTGATATCCTGTTAGTACTATGATATTTGGAGAGGAAGAATTTCAAATTCTAACAAATTATCTAATTTTGAGCTAGAGGTTAAGAAGAAAATGATCACGAGGTGAAATAAAAACATAAGAAATGCTGATTTTTAGATAGCTTATTTTCTTTCTTCTTTTAGTATATGTTGGAAGAAGTCCTCTGCCCCATTGATATGGAATTAGATGGTCGTGAAATTACTGTGAGAAGATCTGAGAGCAATCTTGGGAATCTGGTGACTAATGCAATGCTGGAAGCTACTCGTGCTGATGTCGCACTACTTAATTCAGGTGACTTCTGCAATTAATTTGTTTAAAAATAAAAATGACAAAAATTAGTCTTTTAAATTTTATAGTAGCAGGTTATTTCTGTTACTTACAAAGAACAGTTCAGAAATCCATCCCATTGGCTTCACACCTGTTATGCCCAGGAACACCATTGTTTGAAAATTAAAGCTTCAAGTTTAAAAATTGTTTTACTTTTTATATTTTGTGAGATTTTGAATAATGACATGGCTTTGTCATTTATCTATTTTAAAATTAGTATGTAGTCAAGCCTTGATTATATGAGAAAGAGTAGACTGAAATTTTACCCATAATCTTTTGGTCTTTTACCAATTTTCCCTTCTAATTTTGCCATAAGAGAAAGTGATAAGAAAAATCTTGTAGAGTAAATGCCGAACCTATACTAATAGTTTGAAGTTGGCCTACCTAGGACTATAAGGTATTAAGAATCTCTGTAGAGGATAGAAAATCAAAACTAACCCTGCTTTGAAACTAATCTGGATTCAGTATTATCATAAGCAGAGCTTTAGACACCATGACTGTGACTTAGGTTCCTGAATAATGCAAAAGTCTACAACATGCCATTGTTTAATGTCCTTCCAATTTTAGTCCATGTGCTGCCAAAGTGCAGCCACATTGTTTGATATCCTAACTACAAACTTCATATGTTGCTATTTTCAATGAAATTCAAGCGATGTTAATCTTATTCTTGAATAATTTAAGTTACTGTGTAGAAACATGTCCCAGGAGTGAAATCTACTGTATCTTAGATTGTTTACTTAGGATATCTCTGGAGTTGCTTCCTGTGGGGATGTTTTAAAATAGATGCTGTTCGCTCTGGAGTGCCTCAGCGTGATCCTGTCTGAAAGTGGGAAGTAAAGTTGTGGCTTTTCACTTATGCTGTTCTGTAATTAAAGACAGTGATAGCTAACATGAAATTCCTTCTTCTAAAAATGAATAGAGGTAACTGCATAATTAAAATGAAAATAAGCATGGAGAAGGGTTTGGAAAAAGGATTAGGAGCTTTTGGCAGTGTGGCATATCATTCTGAAGTTTTGGACATAAGGTAAAAGATGACTTTTTATGGAAAAATTAATTAAAATGCATTTTTAAAAATTACTGTAGGCACCCTCAGATCAGATCGGATACATCCAGCAGGGAATTTCACTTTGCATGATCTTTTGGCAATTCTTCCTATAGTGGATCCAGTTTTAGTTGTCAAAGTCACAGGTGCACAGCTGCTGGAAGCACTTGAAAATGGAGTTTACAAATACCCAGCTCTAGATGGAAGGTATGTACATTTATATAAATGGAATCATATAATATTTGCCCTTTTTTCTGGCTTCTTTCAATTAGCATGTTTTCAAGGTTCATTCGTGTTGTAGTGTGTTTCAGTACTTCATTTCTTTTTACTGTTTAATCTCATTTCATTGTGTGGATAACAACATATTTATCTTGCATCAGATGAACATTTTCAGTATTTCCAAGTTTGAACTATTATGAAGAATGTTGCTATAAAAATTAATGTGCAAGTGTTGTGTGATCATTTGTTTTCATGGATATATACTTAGTAATACAATGGTAGATCTCATCTTTGAGAAAGGGATGAACTGCTGAATTGCCTGCACCATTTTGCATTTCCCTCGGCAGTATACTTATGTTTCAGTTTCTCCCCTTGCTTGGCAACCCTTGTTCTCTGTCTTTGGTGATAGCTATCCTAGTAGGTGAGAAATGGAATCTCATTTTGGTTTTCCTTTGTGTGTCTTGAAAGCTGTGGATATCTAGCATCATTTCATGTGCTTATTGGCTGCTTGTATATCTCCTTGGGAGAGATGTTTATTCACATACTTTGCCATTTTAAAAATTGTGTTTTTTTTTTTTGACAGGCAGAGTGGACAGTGAGAGACAGAGACAGAGAGAAAGGTCTTCCTTTGCCGTTGGTTCACCCTCCAATGGCTGCCGCGGCCGGCGTGCTGCGGCCAGTGCACCACGCTGATCCGAAGGCAGGAGCCAGGTACTTATCCTGGTTTCCCATGGGGTGCAGGGCCCAAGGACTTGGGCCATCCTCCACTGCACTCCCTGGCCACAGCAGAGAGCTGGCCTGGAAGAGGGGCAACCGGGACAGAATCCGGCGCCCTGACCGGGACTAGAACCCGGTGTGCCAGCGCCGCAGGTGGAGGATTAGCCTAGTGAGCTGCGGCGCTGGCAAAAATTTTTTTTTTTAAATGATTGAGTTATAGGAGTTCTTTTTATCTTCTAGTTATAAGCCTCATGTCAGATATATGATATGCAAACATTTTCTCCTGTTTGTATGATTTGCTATATTACTCTAATGATGTAGTTCTTTGACTATCAAATTTTTAATTTTTAAGAAACAATTTATTTTTCTTTTGTTTTTTATGCTTTTTTAAAATTAAACTATTGCCTTATGCATGATAACAGAAGTTTATGCCTATGTTTCTTCCAATAGTTTTATAACTTTAACTCTTATTTTTGAGGTTTTCATTTACTTTGAATTAATTTTCTTCAGTGTCATACAAAGTTGGTCCAACTCTTTTTGTTTGTTTGTTTATTTATTTATTTAATTTTTGCATATGGCTTCATAGTTATTTCAGACTGTTTGTTGAAAAGACTTCTTTAAAATCCCCATTGAGTTGTCTTGGCACTCTTGTTAAAAATCAGTTTAACATAAATGTAATGGTTTATTTTTAGACTCTAAGTTGTGTTGATTAATGTATATTTGTCTATCTTGAATGCATAGAACACGTTGATCCCTTAAACCTTTATAATAAGTTTGAAATCAGGAAATGTGAGTTCTCCAAATTTGTTATTTTCTTTTAAGATTGTTTTTTCTGTGTAGGGGTCTTTTGTATTTCCAAGTATATTTTAGAGTCATATTCACACAATTTCTGCACAAAAAGCAGCTGAGATTTCGATATGGGTTTCACTGAACCTGTAGACCACTCTGGGGGAGTTTGACCATCTTAACAATACTAAGGTTTTCAATCCAACAACATGGAATATCTTACCACTTACTAGTTTAATTCTTATAAGAGTGCTTTATAGGTATAAGTCTTAGACTTCTTTTATTTATTTCTAAGTGTTTCATTCCTTTGGATACTTTTGTAAATGGAATTGTTTCCTTAATTTCATTTTTTAACTGCTTATGACCTAGTTTATAGGAATACAGCTTTTATATTGAGTACTTTAAACCAATTATGTTTAACATCAGACCAATTTATTGCTAATAGAGATAATAAACAAAGTAGAAGCTTATAGTAATGTAGTTTCCATGTATACAGTCTAGGGTTAAAGTGCTTATGGAGCTCTATAAATATATCCTTTTTCAAAAGAAGAATGTTCAAAGAAGGCAGTACCTTTCTCTGAAGGGAGGAGAGAACTTCCACTTTGACTATGACCTTGTCTAAATAAGATCGGAGTTGGTGAACTCAAGAGGTATCCATAACTTTGGCAGCTCATGACAAGGCCTCGGGTGATTACTGACTCGTAAATAAGAGTGTCAATTGTTAAATCAACAATGGGAGTCACTGTGCACCTGCTCCCCATGTAGGACCTCTGTCCTTAATGTGTTGTACTATGCGAATTAACGGTAAAACTACTACCCAAACAGTACTCTATATTTTGTGTGTCTTTGTGAGTGCAGTCTGTTGAAATCTTTACTTAGTATATACTAAGTTGATCTTCTGTATATAAAGATAATTGAAAATGAATCTTGATGAAGAATGGGATGAGAGAGGTAGTGGGAGATGGGATGGTTGCAGGTGGGAGGGAGGTTATGGCAGTGGGGAAGCCGCTATAATTCAAAAGTTGTACTTTAGAAATTTATATTTATTAAATAAAAGTTAAAAAAAAACAAAAGCAGAATGTTTATTTTCCAAGTTGTATAGTCAAAAAGAATAAGCTATAGCCAGTCATTTTTCATAAGTAGTAGATTTCTTGTTATTGAAGATAGGCATATATCCACAAAGGGATTTTAAGCATGATTCATTTGAATTAAGATTTTAGACTAACATTGTTTAGACTGTTGATTTTTCTTTAACCTGTTATGATTTATTATTTGACTTTGGAACTCATTATTCTTTGACTTCCTTCTCAATGTTGGTCATTTGCTTCATGGAAATAATATAGATAAATTTAAATAGATTTTATGAGGCTTCAGATACATTCTGATCTTTGAGGGAGTTTTTTTTTTTTTTTTTTTTTTTTTGGAGTTCCTTTGGTGTAAAGTCATTCTATATCATTTGCCATTTTGAATATCTGAAGAACCAAAAATAGTGTCTTGCTTACAATACAAGGCATTTCATAAATTCTTAATGGTTCTAAAGCATAGTGTGGAATTAGGAATAGGCAAAATTAATAATATTTTGGCAGTTTTGCTAGAATACAGACTGAGGGAGGAAGGCATAGCAGTAGCAGGATGGATTTTCGGAGTCAAAACAAAATATTTGAAAAGTACTTTATAGTGTTTCATATTTAATTTTGTTGAATGAATTTTAGCTAAATACTGAGCTATTGGTAAGTTTGAAATGGTATTAGGAAATATGCAGCAGTATAAACAGATATCAGATATGAGCGATGAGCAATGTTAGTTCCTTCTTAGTGTTGCTAATATTCTAGCAGTACAATTGGCCTGAAATAGTTAATAGGTGCTTGCTTGGACATGGGCTCGGTTAAACACACATCATTGTCATTAAATGGACTGGGAAGGGGATATAGAGTCAAATGCCAAAATCAGTCTGGCTTCAGGCATGTGACACTACTTTGCTTTTCTCAGTGAATAACTATTGCTCAAGCAATTGCATATGCTGTACCTCAAGTAGTGATGAAACTGTTGTGAATGTAAATTTTTTGTATTCTTCAGTGTGAATTGCTAATATATTTACAGGAAAAACCTCAGCAATTTAGACTCTTGGTTCCGTTATGAGGAAAAGCCAGATTTTTCCAGTTAAGGATTATGACCTTTTCTGCCTTCAAATGTATCACTAAAGTTTATCCTGTTTAATGATGCAAGGTCTTCATCATTTACCTTACGTATTGTAATGTGCTGACAATAAAATTATATGCAAATGTCAGAGATATAAACCCTCACAGAAAGATCTCATTTGAATTGGACAGAATACCCACTTGGATTTTGCTTTCTTGAAAAAATACCAAATAATAGTTTTAAAATTTTAGTAGCTTTATTAAGGTATAATTCTTACACAATTCATATGATTTACCCACTTGACGTATAAAATTGGATGATTTTCATTATATTTAGAGAGCTGTATACCTGTTACCACAGTCAATCTTAGAACATTTTCATCATTCCAATAAGAAACTATCTGTATTCAATAGCAGTCACTTGTCATTGTCCCCCATAACCTCCAGTCTTAGGAAACTTCCTGTGTACTTTCTACATAGATTTGTCTATTCTGCACACTTCATAGAAATTGAATTATATAATGTGTGATATTTGTAATTGGCTTCTTTCACTCAGCAAATATTTTTAAGGCTTATCCATGTTTTAGTATGCATCAGTATTTTATTACCTTTTATTGAAGAATAATGGTCATTTATATACCTAAGCCATATTTTATTTATTCATCATTGGTTGTTTCTGCTTTTTATTTATCATGACTAACGTAAAATAAATATTAATGCATACATTTTTGTATGGACCTGTGTATTTTCATTTCTTTCCATTGTACATTTAGGAGTGTATTCATTGATTTGTTTGACTGGTTATTTTTTTTCTCACAAAGGTAGAGTGGTGCATACACTGGTGAGACATCTTAGGCAATGGGGAGTGGCTGCTTTTCTGTAAAACTACTTAGTAGATCAAGGACTGAGACTTTTGTAAGTGGATTTCCCACTAGAAATGTACCATCATTTTTAATGTGTGTTTTTACTGTCAACAGCATTTAAAAACATTATATAAATATAGTAATATTGAAAATCCTGGATAGTATGTACACCGTGAACCAAGTTTCTTATGAAGTATAGTAATAGTTTAAATAGATTAAATTAGTGCAGTAATCTTGGGGAACAGGAAAATGACAAATGTACTTGCAGTCACCAGCTGCACTTTGTGATAAATTCTAGAATTGTGTTAGATAAGAATAGCTTTGAGGGTGGGAATCAAGATGGCAGTTGCATAAGATGCTCTGGTGACCACCACCCTACAGAGAGGACAATTTGAACAGCTGTACACAAAGAGGTCACCCCCTCAAAGCCAGGCAAGAGACCACACTGCCCTGTTTTGCTTAGGCAATAAGGAAAATCCACTTG